GGCAGATGATTAAGTAGTATTTTCTGTTTTCACAATAATTTAACAGAGACATATTAAACTATAAGTAGGGCATTTTAAGTTTAATTTTTATGTTAAACAGAATGTGCCTGTTTTGAAGTGTTTTTGTTTATTTGTTTTGTTTTTCTTGGCAGATTTATAAAGGTCCTGACTGGTCATTCCGGTATTCAGGCCTCCAGCTGAACTGTGAATATCGTTTTCGTGTGTGTGCCATTCGACAGTGCCAAGAAACAATAGGTCACCAGGACCTGATAGGCCCGTACAGTACTACAGTACTATTCATCTCTCAGAGGACTGAACCGCCAACAAGCACCAACAAAGACACTGTGGAAATCTCAAGGACACAACAGACACTAACTGATGAACAGTGTGCTGCTGTCATCCTTCTGCTCTTTGCTACCTTTTCCATTCTGATTGCCTTTATCATTCAGTACTTTGTAATAAAGTGAGAAAAACAATTTTCTTTTAGAATGCTGCTCATTACATTTTACATTCTCATATTCTAAAAATATTTCTGTTCTCTTACTTTTACAAAAACAGGCATTTAGCATCAGCACTGGGACTGTAGCACATTTTTTCAGCCACTTAAAATGCTTAAGTAGATGCTGGCACAGGTTATAGAATGCAAGCCACAGAAATATTTCCTTTTAACATGCCTTCTTGCAGTACAAATGTTCTATAAGACAAGCAATGTATCATCATATGGTTATGAACAATAAGCAGGAGCATAATAATGGTAACATGGTCCACGTTTTCAAGGATTAGTACCATGAGAGGGGAGAAACTGGAGTAAAATGCATTTAAAAGTTACATTAACAAACTTGTGCTGTATAAAATGTTAGTCTGATGCTGTGAAAGCAATCTAGCGCTGTATTTCTACCTCCTCATTTCTCTTAATTATTTGGAAGCGGGATTCTGATGAAAAATAGAAGGGTCTTTTCTCAGGCAGTAAACTGGATGAAAGTGAATGCATGAAAGAAGAGTCTTATCTGATAAATGTAGTTTTCCACTGCAAGTATATATTTTTAAGACTAAAAAGATATGGCACAAGTGATTTATCTTGCCCCAGATTCAATGTTGACTCATAAAAACACCTCTTTAGCTTCTTATAAATATAGGAGAGAGAGAGCTTTTTTGATCTAACACTATAAGTAAATTAAAATAATTTCTAAAGACCTGTATTTGATTGGGTGCTGTTTATATAGATATATGTGCCCTCTGATAATGTGTATACATTTTCTAGGATAACCATAATTTTTCCTGTTACCCCTACATTCACTTGCCATAACCACCAGAATGAAGCACTGCCTTTTTCCTTTGGGGCACCAAATTGGGGAGGGGGAGGCGGTGCAATAATTTGCACCATAAAATGTCAACCTTCTTTTTCCTGAGATCCTAATGTTTAATGTAATGTCTCTTTGGATACTGTACCAAATTGTTGATTGCATGTAGTTAATGTTGCATTAGAGCACTTTGCAATTGCATAATTCATCAATGTTTTGTGAGCTTGCATTTGTGAGTTCTTGAATGATCAGACTTAACTTTATCAAGTAGCCCGTTGGACATCTTGCTAGATGTCAATGACTGCCAGTTACATAAAGCTTGTAGTGAAACTATCTTTAAAAAATTCTTGTCTCATCACACTCACATTATCTGTTATCCGTTTTGTAATTAGCTTTAATTTATTTCAGTTTCAAGATAGTGGATCACTAATGACTTCTAGTTGTGTTGGATTTAGCATTTTTAATGGTATTAAGCACTTCTGTCAGTCTTAAAATAATAATAAAAAAGAACCTCTGTCTTGTGTTTTGAAGATCTCTGAAGAATTTCTCTTATATTAGAATGGGCATGTATTGTAATTGTTTCTACGTCCAATGATCTGTGCTGTAGAATAATGTTGTTCAGTTTTGTTTTTAAAAAGAAATGGATAAGAACTTGGCCCTCAAGTGATGAGAATGATCTATCTTTAAAATGTACTGTATGTTTACATTTTTTTTTATTTTAAATTTGTCACTTTTATGTAGAGGCTGATATCTTCCCACAAAATGCAATGTTTTCTAAAACTTTCTTAAGTGCCATGTTCGGCAGTACAAATGAGATTGCGTGTAATAGCCCAGAGATTTCTATACGGTTGAATGTCTAAAATGGTAAGATTTGTCACTACAGTTAAACTGCAGTGGCTTATGTTTTTCATAGTAAAATTCAAATGAACTCCTATTTTTGATAGTAAATGTCATTTAATAGTGTATTTGCCATTTGAACCTCAGTGCAGATTACTGCAATGAAGACGGTTTTTAATGTAATCTTAATTTTACCTCATATACTGTACATTCCAAAAAAAACTCTAAACTTTTTAAAACGTTATAGATATAGTACCAAACATATCACTTTAAACTTGTATACTGTTGGACTTCATACAGATGAAAAATGTATAATCTCATAGAAATACATACAAACTATGTAGCATAAGTATCTTTAAAATCTGTGGAAAATAAAAGTATCATTCTTTTTTGATGTTTGTTAATTGATCTTTGGATATAACTAAACTGTTACTGGATTTCTCCACCGTGCTGGCAGACCAACATAATGGTTAATGAAACAACCATTAAAGTAAAATAGGATTCTTTTTTTGCAACGTTTTAAGCCCATTAAATGACAAAATGAGTGTGGCCACACTCAGTCTCAAACAGCAGTATAATAGGGAGATTAGGAAAATTCCCACATGGCTATACAGGTTGGACCTCCCTAGTCCAGCACCCTCAGGACTTGACTGGTCCTAGATGAGGAATTTGGTGGGACCAGGGGCGGGGGTCACTTCTGGCCCTCTGCTGCTGGCCCCACCTCCTTTCCCTGCCACCCCACCGGTCTTCCCAACTCCCTCTCCCCAGCCTAGCTGTGTCTTGTGGTGGGCTCCCTGGGTCACGCATGTCAGGCTTCCCCCTCTCTCTTTGGCTTCCCCCATCCAGCCCGGCTGAGCTGCACTCCAGAATTTCTGGCTCCCTCCCTCCAGCCCAGCTGAGCCACAGCCCAGCTGAGCCATGCACTGAGCTCCTGGCCCCCTACGCCCTGAAGCATGCCACGACTCTGATCTTGGAACATCTGTGGTCCGTTGCTGGACCAGAGAATTCCAGTTTACAGAGTTCCAACCTATACTAAGAGTCCTTAAAATTTAGCTTAGCTCTCCTGTAAATTATTTCCCTGTGTTGCTTTCATGACCATATTGTTTTGTTAGCAAAGAAGGTGGGATGGATATTAAATGTAAATGATGATTTAAAATTCAGTTTCATTGAACAAAGTGGGTCACAATATTATATAAATCCTAAATGCTGCATATAACCTTTATGCAGTATGAGTAATTAGTGCAAGAAGACTAAAGAAGCTGGGATTTAAAATATCAGTCACAGTACAAAGAGCTAATACTTGCCCAGAAGAAAAAACTATTTTTCACATGATCCAGTCATAGGAGTTATTTTAAATCTATTTTTGTCATACGTACCTGCAGTCCCAGTTTAGGGAAAACTTCCACAGGGAATTTTGGGTAAGGTCAAAGCACAGTCTACAACTTTTAACCAGACATTTCAGATTCTAAAATGAAGTTGTGTATCAGCTCAACATTGTCTTGTAAACTGTGCACGTTTTCTATAGAAGAACTACATTTTAAGTGGAGCGTGGCTGGGAGAATAAGTTTGTAAAATAGCCATAACAGATCCCCAAGCCGCTCTGATAGACGAGCTACAGTTTTCAGTTACACTACAAACTGGAAGCTGAGGTCATATTCCTTGAAGGGTGAGCAGGCAAATAACACATCTTACGGTTGCGGGTAACAGCATCCACAGTACAAGGGTTTGGCTGAGAGCAGGAGAAAATCCCTGGTTTCCACGAGTTTGGTTTTGAGATTTGGTGGAAATTGCTGTTCAATTCATGCTGAGTTTCAAGGAACGAAACCCATCCTTCCGGAAGCCCAGCTGCCCGGTCTGACGCGTGTTTTTCCTTCGAAGCCTAGGAGGGGCGCTGATTCCTGACTACGGCCAGCTCCGGGACTCATTACAGCACAAATGTCGCGGCAAGTGCAGGCTCGGGGCTGGCCGGGCTTTGGTTGTCACTTCCCCGCCAGTGAAAAATGGGCTTCCAATGTGCTGCGGCCAGTCATTAGATTAGCCCTTGAAAAACGTCTCCTCCGGCGCAGGAGCGATATAAGCTCCGCGGGCAGAGGAGGGGAGTTCAGCCCAGGGGAGCTCAGCCCGGCCCCTGGCGCTGCAGAGCGGCGGTGTCTCTGGGCTCTGGCCCGGGACGATCGGCCCGTGCCCGCCCCGCAGGGGCCATGCGCTGCGGCCAGGGCCTGTCCCCCGC